CACGCTAGAAACGACAATGAGGCCACTGGGGTGGCAGAAGGCAATCTGAGCACAGCGCAATCCCATAAATCCTCAGCACCCTGGGAACATGGAAGAGGCAAATGTCCACATGAGTGGGATTCTTCTCCCTCCTACACTCATATGTCGGGGTGTTCTTGTACAGCAGGAGTCTTTTATCTGTGGCTTGTCACCCGTGGCCAAGCAGGTGTCAAAGTCTTATGCGGAAAATTCCAGAAATAAACTGGGTGTGCTGGTGAATACCTGTGATCCCAGCAGTCCAGAGGCTGAGGCAGAGGATCGTCACGAACATGAGACCTGCCTGGGCTACACAGTGAGTTCAAGGCCAGCTTGAACTACATGGCGAGACCCTGTCTCAAAATAAATAAGTAAAAAGATAAATCCAGAAACAAACAGTTCATAAGTTATAAATTTGATGCCATGCTGAGTACTGTGGTGAAGTCTCTTACCTTTGTGCTCCATTCTTCCTAGGACGTGAATCACCCCTCTGCCTGGAGGGTCCAAAACCTGCACATCTGTAGCCCTCCCGGCTACCAGCTCCATTCTTGCGGTACCACAGCATTTCTGGTCAAGTAACCCTTGTTTAAGTGGCCTCCAAGCACGAGAGCATAATACTGGTACTTTATTATAATATATTGTTATAGTTGTTCCTTTTTTAAAATTTTTTTGGTAGCAGGGATCGAACTCGGGTCCTTACGCTTGCAAGGCAGGCAGTGTAACCACTGAGCTAAATCCCCGGCTAGTTCCACTTTTATTAGATATTATTGTTAGTCTCTTACTGTGCCTAAATTACAAATTATACTTTATCAAAGGTATACGTGCATAGGAAAAACAAAACATAGTACATACAGGTCTCAGGGCTATCTATGGTTTCAGACATCCACTTGGGTCCCTCCGGATAGGGGCAGGATATTGTCCTACTCAATCTTCCACCTCTCTTTCAGTTTTTGGTTTGGTTTGGTTTTGCATCGGGAACCAAACTCAGGACCTTGCCAGAGAGGAACAGTGCCTCTGAGTTAAATCCCTGGCCCTTTTCTCAGCTTTTGAGACAGTGTCACTACGTAGTTCAGGCTGACCTTGAGCTCACTCTATAGCCCAGGCTGCCCTGAACCACAGTGACCTCCTGCTTCGGTCTCGGTAGTGTTGAGATTACATGCGTGCGTCACCATAACCAGCAGGGGGAGGATTTGAAAGGGGATTAACAGCAATGTGCCTTTTACTTTAACAAATGATTTTTCATTTAAACATTCACTGTAGCTTTTGATCACACCTCACAGAGTAGAAAAGGAGTTGAGACAGAACCCAGAGAAGGAAGCAGTTCATGTGGTTCTAGGAAATGCAGCACCAGGTAACACCATATGCAAACACTGATGGACGATCCATGCCTTTAGGCTGCATGCTGAACTTAGCCCAAAGGAAGTGTGGATTCTGGTTACTATGACACCACAATTACTGGAAACCAGTCAACTTCTCTGCAGTTATCATGAAGCCAGCAAATGAAAGAAAAATAAATAAAACACAAATGGATTAAAACAGAGCCTGTGCTTGCTTTAGTTATCAAAGTGTGAAATTAGAAGCCATGTGGAAGCCCAAAGAGAAAAGGAATTATCTTTGCAGTGCCACTCCCCCCACCACCCCCTTAGCTAAATTACTGAACTGCCAGGCAGGGCCCAATCTTGAGATCTTCCAGCCTCAGTCTCTAAAAGTATGGTTGTTGCGCTGCACAGAGTGGTGCACACTTGTGATCCCAGCACTCTGAGAGGCAGAGGCGGGAAGATCATATATCCCAGCCCAGTCTGGGCAATTTAGTCTCAAAAAACAAAAAACAGGGCGGGGATTTAGCTCAGTGGTTCTGCCGCCTGCCTCTCAAGCTCAACCCAAGTTCATTCTCTGGTACCAAAAAAATTAAAAAATAAAAAAGAGCTGGGGGGCGGGCCAGGGATTTAGGTCAGTGGTTCCACCACCTGGCTTGCCAGCACAAGGGCCTGAGTTCGATCCCCAGTACCAAAAAAAAAGCGGAGCTGTGGAGGTAGCTCAGTGCCAAGGACCTGGGTTCAATTCACAGTACCCCCCCCCAAAAAATTGTATTTTTAGATGATGGTCTCTTTCTGTCCACAGTTCAACTGTACAAAAATGCTTTATCACACAAGGACCCGAGTTCGATCCCTGTACAAAA